TGCTGGGTTCCGAGGGGAAGGAGGAAGAGAAAGGGGAAGGAGAAAGAGAAAGAGAAAGAGAAAGGGAAAGGGAAAGGGAAAGGAGAAAGAAAAAGAAAAAAAGAAAAAAGAAAAAAGAAAAAAAAATTTAAGTTTTATTTTTCATAATATTTTTTTATATTATTTTTTTCCACATCATCACTTTTTTTTTCCACATCATCACTTTTTTTTCCACATCATCACTTTTTATATTATTATATGACATGTCATCTGGTAACTGTTAAGTAACATGTCACGTCACATAATTTTTAACGGAAGGACCAAATCGGGGTAAAAATGGTAAACAGTAAGGACCAAATCAGGGATTTTTTTAGTTCAGGGACCAAATCGGGGGTCCGTATAATAGTTCAGGGACCAAAAAAGGGTTTTAACCTTTTAACTTTAACTTGTTAGAAAACTTTTGAAAATCTAATAGTGATAGTTTTATCAAAAGTTAATTTGAATTAAATAAGAGATTAGTGCATACCTGTTTGTTCTAAAAAAAATTAGAGATTTAATTTATATTTGAAATTTAAAATTTTAATTTAAAATTAAAAAATCTAATTAGTTTTTAAATTCAAATATTAATATTTAATAACATAAATTTTTAAATTTTAAATTAAATTTTAATTAAATAAAATAACATAATTTAAAATTTTAATTTTAATTTATTTTAAAATTAAAATTAATACACTTTTCTTTTATAAAATAATATATAAAATGAGATTACATTTGGAGAGTCACGTTAAGAGACTCGATACTGTTAATACTCTTGATAAACATGGAACCCCTATCGCATAAGGGCTCTTGTTTTCATTTTATCTCAGAATAACACAGATCCTACAATCTACATTAGCATCATCAACTTATTTCTCAGCCCCCATCAAAAAATGAAACCTCTCTCGACCCAATGACATATTTTTACTTTTATTCTAAGCCCAATTAAATTTTATTTCGTTTATTAACCTAGTTCTAACTCTAGCTCATAAGATAGCCCATATTCGTTAGAACTTAGGTCCAATTGGTATAAAGTAATAGTTCAGCCCGACAAAAATTAAATCAGGCCTACACTGGATTAAGCCCACAGACGGATCACATTCCCCAATTTAAATTAGCAAAGCCCGCAAACAAATTTTTATTTTAATTTTACAAAAGAGTATTTTAAGCAGGGATGTTCATATTTGATCCAATCCGATTGATCCAACCTAAACTGATCCAATTCAATCAAAAATTGACCCAAATCGATATAAAATTGGATTGGTTTGAATTCTAAAATTTTAAAATCGATATAATTGGTTTGGTTTATGATTTTACCTTCAAACCGCCCGAACTGCCCGATTACAAAATAAAATCTGATTAGAAGATAATTTAATTAACTAATATAACATATTTTTTGTAATATTTTAAATTTTCTTTTTCTTATTTTACAAGATTATAACTTCATTAACTTAATTAAAAAAATAAAAATAGAACATCTTCATATTCCCTAAGTTATTTTTTCATTTTAATCATACACTCTAACCTTAATTCTAAATTTTCAATTCACCTGCAACTCTATCATCTCAGAACTGGTTTGCGCCTTTACTCTTAAAATCTTAAAATTTTAATTTATTCTTAAAATAATCTTATGATCCTCCTAACTAAATTTTAAATAAGTATCATTCTAAAAACCTTAAAACTATATAATAAAATTAGTCTTAATATTTTACTATTTTTGGATATTTGATTTAGACTTTTTAAATTTTGATTATGAATACTTCTAATCAATTTTAGTAATATTCATGTTAAATGTTATTCACTTTTAACAGGATTTAAAAAATGAGATTAAATTATTAGTGCATTAAAAAAAAACTAATTTTAATTTTCAAAAATTATTTACGTTATGCTAGAAATTTAAAGTTATTTTTTATTGTTTTTGGTGCCTCTAGTGATGTAACCAAAAAGAATTTTCAGAGTTTTTCAATTTTTACAAATGTAAAAGAGTATAAGAATTTATTATAATTTTTACCTATTATTATGTTTTTATTGATTTGGATGTTAATGTATTTTATAGTTATATTTTTTATTTGATATTAAAA